GCTGTCATTTATCGCCGTGTGGCGCCGGCTTAGAATAGCATCACCCCATATCTTTCTCGTGAATGTCGTAAGAAACGACTAAAGGATTTGAGAGTTGTTGTGTATTGCAATTTTAGGCGACAAGCTGACAACCTGTCACTATGGTGATACACATACTCTGAATGACCGATACGTGTGAGCACAGATAAGCCGTCAGCCTAATGGTCTGTGCAAACGAACCGCGGTCTGCGATGCGACTGTGCTCGCATCCATGCGGCGACAATTAGTCCTTTGTGTGATCGTAGCGTCGTAGGCGTGTAGCTACAAATGCCTACGACAATGCTACGAGTTTGCTACGAAGAATCAAACTCATACTAGAAGATATGTCGACTAAAAAAAGTAGACCCAATGTCATAGCTTTGACATGATTTTGCCAGCTGTAAAATATCGCCGTGTGGTGCCGGCTTCGAGTACTGTAGAATCAACCCATAATATCAAATAACAAAAGTTGACCTTATTTTCATAGCATTTACATGTTTTTGTTGTATGGTGCTGGCTTAGAATAGCATCACCCCACTTCTTTCTCGTGGATGTCGTAAGAAATTACTAGGAATTTGAGAGTCGTAGCTTATTGCAATTTAAGGCGACAGACTGACAACCTGTCACTATGGTGATACACATACTCTGAATGACCGCTATGTGTGAGCACAGATAAGCCGTCAGCCTAATGGTCTGTGCAAACGAACCGCGGTCTGCGATGCTACAATTAGTCCTTTGTGTGATCGTAGCGTCGTAGGCACGTTGCTACAAATGCCTACGAGAATGCTACGAGTTTGCTACGACATAGCTCTGGCTTTTTTGCATTACAAGGCTTAAAGTACGGCCATTCGAAAAGCCCATTTTTGTCAGCTAGAAGACATGTCATAGCATTAACATGATTTTGACAATTGTCAAATATCACCGTATGGCACCAGTTTAGAATAGCATCATCCCATATCTTTCTCGCGGGTGTCGTAATATATGACTAAGGGATTTGAGAGAAAGTTGAGAGTTGTAGCTTATTGCAATTTGAGGCGACAGGCTGACAACCTGTCACTGATTTATGGTGATACACATACTCTGAATGACCGAGACGTGTGAGCACAGATAAGCCGTCAGCCTAATATTTGACAACTGTCAAACCCATACTGGAAGACATGCCAATTAAGTTAAGTAGAATCTATGTCATAGCATTTACATGATTTTGATGTATGGTGCTGGCTTAGAATAGCACCACCTCATATTTTCTCGTCGGTGTCATAAGACACTACTAAGGGAGTTGTTGTGTATTGTAATTTTAGGCCACAGACTGACAACCTGTCGCTGATTTATTGTGAAACTCATACTCTGAATGACCGATACGTGTGAGCACAGATAAGCCGTCGGCCTAATGGTCTGTGCAAACGAACCGCGTTCTGCGATGCGACTGTGCACGCATCCGTGCGGCTACAATTAGTCCTTTGTGCGATCGTAGCGTCGTAGGCATTGGTGAAAATGCCTACAAAATTGCTACGAGTTTGCTACGAAGTAACGCTCTAGATTTTTTGCACTAAAGGGACTTAAGGTACGGCCATTCGAATATGTCATATTTGACAGCTGTCAAACCCTTATAATAAACATGTCATAGCATTTACATGAGAGTTGTTGTGTATTGCAATTTTAGGCGACATGCTGACAAACTGTCACCATGTGATACACAGTCTTCTGAATGATTCAAACGTGATATATCGTCTTACGTATTGGCTGAGCTGAGAATGCCTACGAGAATGCTACGAGTTTGCTACGAATTAACACTTGGCCTTTTTACATATAAGGTGTAAAAAATCAACTGCAAATATTTTAAGGGATGAACCAGCCCATGAAACTGAACAACTTTCCCCAAGGAACATAAGCCGAAATATGAAAAAAAATTGGGCCTTCCATACAAATTGACTCAGTCGGCTGGTATATTTTGTATGGGAGGTGCAAATTTTTTTTTTCATGTTTCGACCTATGTTCCTTAGGGAAAGTTGTTCAGTTTCATGGGCTGGTTCACCCCTTAAAATATTTGCAGTTAATTTTTTTACATCCTGTATAAACATGACTTAATAGTATAAGTAGGTTGATATTTTTAACCGACGAAAAAACAAAAGAGGAGGAGGTTCTCAATTCGTCCCGAACTTTTATTTTTTAATGCATTTATTTCTTACATATTGTAGGACCGGCTAGTGATAAGGAACAACTTTCCCCAGGGAATATGGGTCGAAAAAATTATGAAGAAAGAATTTGGTTTACCATATACAAAATAGCCGATAAGCTGATTTAATTTGAGCTGAGCTAGTTACTTAATCGGGTACCTTAACCTTACCTTAACAGCCACAACAGTCCACTGCTGGACATGGGCCTCCCCCGTATTGGGGGGGTATTGCCATACTCACCACGCTTGGCAGGCGGATTGGCGAGCGCAGTGCAAGATGTTTAATTCACAGGGAACGCTGCTGCCCATTCCCTGGATAATTATCCCTTAGTCGCTTTTTACGACACCCACGGGTAGAATTGGGGTGATGCTATTCTAGGCCGGCATCACACGGTATTGTGTGATACTTAATCGGGTAACCCATTCTTTTTATATTTAGACCTATTTTTTTTTTGTTTCATTATCACCTTTCTGTCCTGCACTTTCGCTCTCGGTCAATCTTTTTTTATCGTATAATATATTTTCTCAACTTGTGTAGGTGGCAAATAATAATCTTTTATTTTCCCTAAAATAGGTTTGAATAATGTCAGTTAGGACGTCAATAAAATTGTAATCATCAAGAGGGAAAGCTTCCGGCTTTATTCTTTGGGAAAGAATTGAAATAATTTTCCTCAAAAATAAGGGAATTCCTCAATTGGAGAGATTACGGACAGAATCGATGCAAACCTTAGAGTATATATAAGCAAAGCTATAGAGTGCGCCTAAAAAGTTAGAACGGTTGGCAGTGGTAAGCACACAGTATTATTATCTCTGTCTATCAGTAGCAAAACGCCAGTGACAACACTATTGAACCTCTATAACTTCTCTTTCGTATATATTTATGTTTTAACAGTACGGCGCGGGCCGATACGCTTGCTTTTAAATACTCCAAGATGCAAACCAACTTTTTTCGTCAATACTAAAACACGAAACAAAATTACTCGTTTTGGAAGCTGTAATTATTTTTCCTGTCAGAAATACGATATCGTTTCGCCACGTTTCAATATTTTCTTAGCAACGGTATGGCCGTTCGCATAGGACATATTTGAAAGCTGTCAATATGGTGAGGTCTATTTTTCTTTGTTGACCTGTCTTTTAGTATGGGTTTGTTAGTTGTCAAATATAGCCTATTCAAACTAATTTAACTTGCTTTTTAGCAGATAATATTTTATGCCAATATTGTAAGGAACATAAACTTTTATGTCAAAAATCTTTGAACTTTTTTAAATATAATCAATACAAGCTTAATTATAGTTCTACTCACATAATAACATCGATCTGTAAATAATTCACCATATTGCATGGATGATCTTTAAAACAAAAACTGTTAAACGGCGATAAGATAACAGAGATTTTGCGTCAAAGGATATAATCAATTGACCATACAAGCTTAGGCGCCTCACAAATGCCTTGTAAATCAAAATGTATGGTCGTGAAACTCGTAGTACATATTCCTTGTACTACCTAGATTATGTTGTTATAACGACTTTTAAATTTCAACGGGAAACTGATAAAATAACGCAAAATACAACATAACCTAAAAATCTGTTTTGATAGCATTTTGCTGCAATGCGAATTACTATTGATATTTAAACACATAAAATCACACCTACAGCCTTTATGGTGTAGGCAGAGCGTCAATGGCCTTAAAAATAACAATGATTGCCGCATTTCATAAAATATAAAAATATCTTTTACTTTTGAATTTGGGATTCCCGTTTCGTATAGAGATGGTGTTTGCAAGATTGTTATAAAAAAATCAATCATAATTTTTAGTTTTAGTAAGAATTTCATACAATACCGTTTTCGGAAATCGGCAAATTCGGGGTGGGCCCAAAATTGATTATCACATTATATTGACTAAATCACAGTTTCCGGTCAAACCAAAACCGTGCGATTGGCCGATCGGAAACCCTTTTTAAAACCATACATTCCACAAATTGACAGCTGGTCTGTCACCACAACTAGACGAGGGTAATGGTTTGACAGTAGAAACAGGTTTTGTCGTACCCCTTCGCTTACCTAAAAGATTTTGAAATCGACACTTTTCCGCCTTTTTGAACACTGAAAATAAAGTAGTAGGACAGACAAATATCTAGAATCTAGATTATCTAGATTCAAGATTATCTACTGGTACATTTTTGGTACTGGTACCGGTACGTTGGTTTTTAATTCATCATAATATAAAGATACTTGAACGATTTATACATTTTCAAAAGATCAATATACTTTTTGAATTGAGCGCTGAATCTTTTTCACCAAGAAGTCGTTTCCTTACGCAATTGAAATATAATGATATAAAAAGGCCTCGCTTAAGCAATATGTATATGAAAAAGGCACATTTATGGTAGTAAAAATAGGTTGTATTACGAAAAATATTATTAAGTGTACCTCCTACTCGAAATAACTACTGACAAACATTTTACTAGATTTGAACGAATTAGATTTCCAAGGCGTAGAACAAAAACGCCCTTCCTGAAAAGACCTTTTCTTACGGAACCAAATCCGAAATATAATAATAAAAAGCCCTCGAGCAAGATGTGAAAAGAAGACACATTTGAATAAAATTGATTCTGGCAATTTGTCGTCCCCGTAGATAAGGCGCGAGGGCCCCCGCGAAGGGCCCCCGCGAAGGGCCCCTTGCCGCCAGATTGTTTACCTCCCAAAATGATTCCGTGATTTAATTATATGCCCCCAAAGTAAAGGCACGAAGCAGTAGAAACGAAAAAAATATTGCTGTAATTTTTGGAAAACTTGCAAAATTTTTCACCGCAGGCAGGATTTCAACCTGCGACCTTCAGCATTTGTACTGCCGACGCTACTACCGACTGGACTACCGCGGCTCTAATCTAGCCTGCGAAGATCGCAGATTCAAATCCTGCCTGCATTGAAAATATTGCAAGTTTTTCAAAAATTGTATACCTAACACGAGAAGTGTTTTAAAATTTGGTATTCAATATTGTTGTACTATAGTATTTTTTCATAACAGCCTGCATGCTAAGTTCAATCTATATTACCTACTCAGAGGAACGGTTTATGAGTAGGTATTGCAAATTTAGGCGACAGGCTAACAACCTGTCCCTTTGGTAAAACAGTAAATAAGAAAAATAAATAAATAAATGATTTTCAAAAGTTAGTTTTTTACAGCCGTTCACGCTCTGCTTACCCAGCAAGGGATATAAGCGTGATATATTTATGTTATGGATCAGTAAACCATGGGAGGGTTAAGCAAAGATTACCTTCTTTTTCATTTCACTTAATACGATATTAGCATACTTATTCTTTCGCTTCTTCTGCATATTTTTTATAGATGGGTTGTCGGTGGTCGGAAGATAAGCCCAACCTAAGTACTGGTCTTTGCACCTACTGTGACGTCCCTCTGTTATATTGAATACTTATCTCTGGGTGCTTAAATATCATTTTGAACGATAATTTTGAATTTATATGAAATATTGAGGCAGCCAGTTATACTTAAATTCAGAAGTATCGTTTGAGTTAAATTATCAAATAAAAAAATATTAAATTATTTACACCAGAATTAAGTCACTTCACGTTATTTGTAGAAATGCCATAATATCTCTTTATAATTTTATGTTGTCTGATGACAGTAGGCTAAGTATGTGAGCCGTAGATATCTTGCATGTGAGAGAAAGCTTCGAGCCTGTGCGTCGCCGTCTACCTAATTTGTGTTTCAGATGTGTCTAATTGTATGGTTTAAATAAAAACAAGTAAAGGATTTTGATATAAAAATGAAGAAAAAATGGAAGTCTCGGTGCATGTTCTTAAAATCCACAGGGTTCATTAGGTCGTTTGTAGACTTGGTGCACCACGAGATAAAATACATGAGCACTTTAAAAAACATTGAACTCTAAAATAATAACGACGCTCGCAGAATTCAATAGGTACGTAATAGAAACAGATTTTGTTATTCCATTTGACGACAAAATTTCCATTGGATTAAAGCCAAACAGAGTCCACGTAAAAAGAAAACTCATTTCAGGATATCCCGATAAAGAGAGTTGCTTTTCAAAACGTTATTTTTAAAACAGTTTACGAATGGTTTGCGATTGTAGACTAGAACAGTTAGGCGATAATCACATGCGACGTCCGCTGCTACGCAATGTTGCGTAACGCATGCGATAGGTATGAAAATGTGAATTTCTGCCTTATCTCCATACAAATACAGTTCATGTCAAACGGATTGATAGATGCATCAGCTAGTGCGGCGTACCTATCGTACAACGCTGCGTCGATGGATACGTCTGTCAAACCGTTTGACATAAACCCTATTTGAATGGGAATAAAGTAGAAATTCGTACCTCGATTGACGTTACCTGTGATCCCCGCTTTGATTTAATTTGAGTCAGTCATAACGTGCAATACAATTGCATAGTTAGATTCAGAATTGAAATTTTTCTGTGGATGAAAAAGAAATATTTCCAATACCTAAAGCGGTTTTCCAGGAAATCTAGCAGGAAAAAGCTTAAATGAATCCAAGAGATTTCTCTGTTTTTATTTTCTAGAAATAACCGATTTGCTTTCCGTGTTTATTGGGCAAACAGCGTCACAAAATGTGACGTAACGAGTGCGGGTACATTTCAAATAAATAAGACCAGGACAAGAGAAAGAGAGAACCAAATATTATATTGAATACCAAATTTTAAAACAATTGTGTTAGGTATAAAATTTTTGGAAAACTTGCAAAATTTACCACTGCTTAGAACCGCGATTAGAACCGCGGTAGCCCAGTTGGTAGTGGCGTCGGCAGTACAGATGGCGAAAGTCACAGGTTCAACAAATCTGCGGTGGAAAATTTTGCAAGTTTTCCAAATATTATATTTTTGAATAATACTTTGACAGAATGATTCACTTCTTTTTCAAATCCATTTTTTACACACTTTCAGTACGAAAGGGTCAGATCTTCAACCAAGGCTACCTGTTCATTAATGTTAGTTAAATATTTGGATATTTTTACCTATTATAATAGCAGATTGCAGGTAGTACTTATAGTGAGAATTTCAATATTACATCATAACCATCCAGACGAGTATTTTATGGATTTGAATTGTTTTCTCGCAGAGATCATTGCCAACCAACACCGATTGCATTCATTGAATGGAAGAATGGCAAATCTAATAACCATTATCAGCAAACATACACTTTTTTTCGGGATTCGAATGTTTTTCCGCTGAGCTCACTGTGCCCTTTATCTCAATCAGATGGCAGATGACAAATCGCTCAAACCGACACCGATAGCATTCATCTCTTAAAGATATCATAACTTTATATGAAAGGTACTTACACAATCTTGGCACAATATACGAAATGGCAAATCTAATAATCATCGTCAGCATAAATAGACCAGTTGTTTTCAGGATTCGAATGTTTCTTCGCTGAGCTCATTGTAACCTATTTCTCAATCTGATGGCAGATGACAAATCGCTCAAACCGACACCGATCGCATTCATCTCACAAAGATATCGTAAGTAAAAACACAATTTTGACACAATATACTGAATGCCAAATCTAATGAGCATCATCAGCAAACATAGACCAGTTTTATCGTACCTCAAATATTTTTTCACTATGCTCATTGTACCTTCTATCTCTATCTGATGGCAGATGACAAATCCCCTCGCTCAAACCGACACCGATCGCATTCATCTCCCAAAAATATCATAACTTCATATGGTACACAATCTTGATAAAAAACGGAATAGCAAATCGTATACGCATCATCAGTTTATTTAGGATTCAAATGTTTTTCCGCTGAGCTCACTGTACCCTTTTTCTCAATCAGAGTGCAGATGACAGATTGCAGGTAGTACTTATAATGAGAATTTCAATATTACATCATAACCATCCAGACGAGTATTTTATGGATTTGAATTGTTTTCTCGCAGAGATCATTGCCAACCAACACCGATTACATTCATTGAATGGAAGAATGGCAAATCTAATAACCATTATCAGCAAACATACACTTTTTTCGGGATTCGAATGTTTTTCCGCTGAGCTCACTGTGCCCTTTATCTCAATCAGATGGCAGATGACAAATCGCTCAAACTGACACCGATAGCATTCATCTCTTAAAGATATCATAACTTTATATGAAAGGTACTTACACAATCTTGGCACAATATACGAAATGGCAAATCTAATAATCATCGTCAGCATAAATAGACCAGTTGTTTTCAGGATTCGAATGTTTCTTCGCTGAGCTCATTGTAACCTATTTCTCAATCTGATGGCAGATGACAAATCGCTCAAACCGACAGTCGACACCGATCGCATTCATCTCACAAAGATATCGTAAGTAAAAACACAATTTTGACACAATATACTGAATGCCAAATCTAATGAGCATCATCAGCAAACATAGACCAGTTTTATCGTACCTCAAATATTTTTTCACTATGCTCATTGTACCTTCTATCTCTATCTGATGGCAGATGACAAATCCCCTCGCTCAAACCGACACCGATCGCATTCATCTCCCAAAAATATCATAACTTCATATGGTACACAATCTTGATAAAAAACGGAATAGCAAATCGTATACGCATCATCAGTTTATTTAGGATTCAAATGTTTTTCCGCTGAGCTCACTGTACCCTTTTTCTCAATCAGAGGGCAGATGACAAATCGCTCAAACCGACACCGATCGCATTCATCTCCCAAAGATGTCATAACTTCACCGTGTTTGCGTTATTTCACAGTCCGCTGATCGCCTGAATCTGCGTACAAATTGTCACATGAATATTTCATCGCGGTGGATTTTTACATAAAGAACAGGAGATCAATTCGCTCAAGTCGCGGGTTTAGAGATAATCGCCACGATGCCAAAGTCAGTAATACTTGATACAAGAAAATCTACTATCCATAGAAATGAATGATCATGATTCAATAACTGCTCTGATTTTTGCTTCTATCGTGTAGGCCCAGAGTAAATCGGAATTTTTTCATCAATGAATAAAATTAATGAAAAATCGCAGTTCTGATGAACTTGAAAATTTTCCAAACTATTCCTATTACTTATAACTATTTCCCATTATTTGTTTTATTAGGTAGATAAAATCTTAATATTTGAGTAAAAGACATTCGCAACTACCTAGTTCTCGCAAGCACAGCATAATTTTTAAAAAGTTGTACTGGATCCTTTTTTACAAAAACTGAAGGTTATGTGTCAAACGTTGTTGCACCAAATCGCAATTATGCATGTTGCCATTTTTTCGGCTAGATACCTACTGTCATAAACCGCAAAATCATTTAGCGCGTGTACAATTCACCTAACACTGAAGTCAATAAACTAAATGTGCATTTAATTCATTAACTAGAGTGTTCAGTTGATGCAAACAACACTTTACGTATATGAATTTATCACTTCAACTATGAAAGTGCTCGAATCGAATCAACTTTGTTGTTGGCAATGAAATCGTTCTTTATTATGAACCATGGGTATTCAGATGATAAAAGTTATTTGCACCTTTGAAAATGTATTTTGTGTATATCGAAATTTGCAATTATGTAGCCCTTCAATACGGTGCACAGCATTGTTTCACATTTTAATTGAGTTTTCAGAAATAGTAATTTATTTTGGTCTCAATTTTATTTATGACGGAATTTTTAATTCAGACCCCGATAGTTTGTATTTTTATGCGGTTGTCTGGTATTCTGTACTTCAAATTATCGTGGCCTTTTTTAGTTCTGGGGCGTACAAAAAATTTGTTTATCTCATAAATTTAAACCATCATCGATGTGAACACAGTGTTGCATATAAAATGAAGCTCTATCGAACGCAAATATTTGCAATTGTGGCATACAGCGTTATAATGTTGGTTTA